CAATGAAACCAAACTTCTATAGGTAGGGCAATGCCCACTTTTGGTGTTGGTCAAGATTACTGGAACCCCCAAAATCTGGGTTAGCCCGCTTGTCCTTAAAAGTGACCATTTTCGTATTTCCACTACTTTTACACAAACAGTAGCGCCTGTGTTGTGTTCCATTAATAGACGTACACAAGCTAATTCATTTTTTGAAAAAAGGTCCACAAAGTAAATTTGGATCGTTTACTGTAGCTTTTTAAAAGAGTGTACTCAAGTACTTTGAGTATAAGAACCGAATACTTTTCAGTACTATTGTTGCTTCGTATAAAAGTTTAATACATCCCTAACATTGTTACCATTAATCCTTTTCCTTTTTAAATTTGTTTTCATTATTTGAGACTATGATTACTTGAGGGAAAATGTGAGACAAACAGACAGACTGCAACAATGGAGTTAAAGAGATGAGGAGGGACCTAGAAGTGTCAACCTCAAATCATCCTCGGGGATGAGATGAAGAAGAGTGATCAGGAAATGAGAGGAAGAGGAAGATACGAGGAACGGATAGAAGATGAACATGAAATGAATGAAAGAAATGCAATGGGACAAAGAATAAAAGAACGACCACGGACAGTTTGAACTCACAATTTTATCCTTGGCTCCTGTATAATATTATTGTTTTGTTATACCTGGAATTGTTATGCGATCGTTAAAGATCCCTCAGTGGTCCTAAAAGAGATACGAGTAGGCCTCAGCCGCCATCCTGTCAAAATTCAAAATCGCCACCAAACCGAAAAGGGTTTATGTATCCCTTGCACTTATATTATGACCTTGTACAATTGTGATCGCCGTAACACGATTAACCAAAAAAAAAAAAAAATGAAATAGTTCCCTTCTTTTCGCTTATTTTTGTAGACCTATTGTGCCTTATTATTGGAAAATTGAGACCATTTAAAAAAAAAATCGAAACTTCACGTCGTTTCTGTACCTCAAGATGCTTAACAGAGATGTATGAGTAAAAGTTAACGAGCATAGCTCTTTGAGTAAAGGTCTATGGGTAAAGATTTATGATTAAAGGTGTATGAGTATAGGTCTATAAGCAAGATGAAACTATGAGTAAACGATAGGAAAAGGCTAGAGTCCGATAGAAGACAAAGGAAACAGTAGCAGAACTTCTTCCTCGACAAAAGTAAGTATCAAACCTGCTGTAAAACCAAACTATTCGGCTCACCTGGAAAGGTTCCTTCTTGACCTGGGAAGAGCTGGTGATAGTAACCTGTGTGGTGGTCAACAGCGAGTCCTTGTGTTTTTATCTACCTGTCGGATACAAGGATGGACGTGGTCAGTCGACCTGATTTACATAACCAGACACATTATAATGTTCTAATAGTACAGAGAAAATAGAACTATAAGGTTTACTACCCAGACACCTGTTCTAATCTCATCGCTTGAGGCTGGCCCATCTCCGTCAGAGAATCTTTAACATAATGATCCTTGGTCAGCAAATACATAGCCAGTGAAACCACAACGTTTTGTGGAATGTTTTTAAACTACCTCCTTTACGTTTTAAAACCCTTGACACTCACACACGTGCAAAGGTAGAAAGTTCATTTCGAGTTCATTTACTACTTGTGAACATAATGAAATAATTTCTCACTAAAACTCTCACACTTTTACTGAACAAAGTCACACTTCCATGTCGTCAGAAACAGCCATGCTCTATCCAGTAACAGCGGCGTAAGGACACTGTTCTCGCTCTGTCGAAAACAGTATAACTCTTGAAAATCTTCCTAGCACTTACACGTTGAGACAGTTTGACTATGCCCACTCCCGAGCTCCAGTCAGATAAAAGGGAGGAGAATTTCTGCAGACGACACCACAGCTCCTAGTAGCCTGATATTTGCTGATCAAGTCGGAACCTTCCAGGTGAGATCTGTTTGTCCGCTTTAAACGGAGTGCCCACTACGGCCGGATTGGGCCCATCTCCCGACTCGATTGCCTGAAACTGAAAACAAACACGTTTGTTATTGAGGCGATCGAGTCTGGGTTAGCTCGATTGTCTTTAAAAGCGAGCAATTATGGCTTCAGTAGTTTTTTCGCTTTTTCACTTTAAGTATCGTTTGTTTTTCTGATTCAGATGAAGAAGAAAATCCTTTCTCTACTATTGAACAGAAGAAGAAGAAAATTCTCAGTCTACTATTGAAGAGTAGAAGAAAAAATTCTCTACGACTAACACGTTTTGACAGAAATTGAAATTTGTGTCTCCACTACTGAAATCTTTTTAAGGGAAAAGAAATTCCTCTCTCTAAAACTTGCAACTTTAACAAAAGAAGAAATTCCACTCTTTCTTTTAAGACTAAAAAAAGACTAAAAAAAGACTAAAAAAAGACTAAATTTCTTGGTTATGAACAAATTTGACTGATTAAGAATTGCACTACTGTGTGTTCGTTTTCACCCACAACTGGTTGATTTACTTGAACAGGAAGCCGAATAATGCTTATTACATGTAGGCTACCTTGGAACGATTTCAGTTCAGACAGGTGACATAGACACAACTGAAGAATGGACTACGTTTTTCTTTTTGTGCTTTTCTCTGTTTCTGTTTCTGTTTCCCTTGTAAATGTGTACATATTATCACATACGCTTTTAACTTGAATGTTTCTGTTGTAAATGTATTTCACGGCAACCATTACTAGAACTGGAACCGTTTGTACTTTCTAACTGTAGTATTTTGTCTGTGTTGCTTTCCAGTTCAACACTAATCAATCAAGATGAACAACACCATCTTTGTCGTTCTCGTCGTCCTGGCTCTGATCGCCGCTGCCAGTGCTACGTCATTCTCTAGCTGTAACAGCAAGTTCAGCGACTGGTACAACGATTGTAAGGGCCGTTATGGACAACACAAGTGTGACATTGCTATGGGAGGTTTCTCTGTATCTTGTTATTACAGCTAAGTTCTCCATGTGTCATGTCACCTGAACACGTTACCGGCCGTGGGCTTCGGAATAAATCTACTGCACGAAGATCTTTCCGTTGGTGTTGTGTTGCTTTACTTAGTTTAAGTTTAGTTTAGTAAGAGTTTTACGGCGCTCGCAACTGCTGAAGGTCATATGAGCGCTTATTGCTTTACACTGTTTCCTTTTAAAAAGAATCCTTATAGTAATTAACTTAAGAGTGGTTCGTTTTTATTCAAGACCTTCACTACGTTCTTAATCAGATATGTTTCATTGCAAATTGCATTTATCACTTTGAGAATAAACTTAACTCATAACTACTTAAGGATTTTAGCACATCAACATTCACAACTCTATATGTCCTCCAACTTTCATGTAGAGAGTAGGGGGGCTTCCCTCGACATCATAATGATACCAGGAAGGAAAAAGTAAAAAGTAAAGAGGGAGGGCTCTCGTGGTTTAAAAGGTATAAAGGTATGGTGTTAACCTCTCAGTAAAAAAAGAAATAAAATAAAATCTGTGGATCGAACCCTGCAAGCTGCGAAATCAATAATTCCTTAAAGTGTGGGTCAGACTCTGTCACAACCACTTTGAGCTACACTGTCACAGCGGACTCTGCTCTAGACTGTCCCCGGTGTTTTATGCACACATAAAAAAATCTGAACCCCCCAAAAAGTGAAATTATGCAATTTAAAAAAAAATTGTAACAGAGAATGATAAAGGAAAATAAGCAGAAATTGTGCAAAAAAATGATCAAATTTTGCTGAATTATGCGGGGTGCATAAAACCCCGGGGACAGTCTAGCACCAACTGAAGACACGCTTCTTCCAAGCAGGGCCGAAGCAGCCCGCCTCCTAAATGGTCCCAATAATGTCGATGGGGATGTAAAATCCTTACTTAGGAATTTTACAATAGAAACTAGGCCACACATTCCTAATAATATCATGTTCAGTAAGCAGTTCGTGGGTGCTCTGGTGTGGTTTGCTCCTTCTTCCCTATCAAACATCTATTGTTCTTATCTCCCCTCCTTCTTTTTTGTCTTTGTTACTTCCTCCCTTGTAACACCTCTAATCTCCAGCACTTGTATGATCTTTCTGTGTTGCAAGTGCCGTAAAACTCTTACTAAAGCTAACACTAAACTAATATTTTGATGGCTACATGAAATGTCCAACCCCAAAAAGGGGGAGAAGCATTGGTGTGATTGGTGCTAAGACCACCAGCAGAAAGAGATGTAAATTACGAAATAAGTATTTGAACATTTTACAGAATAGTCTTCCATAGATTTGACTAGCTTGGTCATTGTGGAGTTTCAGTACGCACTGCATGTGAGCGGAAGTCTCGCTTGTTTACAATGGCGTCAAAGAAGATGTACTTTCCCAAGATTATATCTAAACGAAACTAATGAAAAACTGAAATTTAAACCACACTGACTTAGACTCCTTAATAAAATTGTCCACCCTTTAAATGATTCTGAATCACCATTAATTTGTTCAAATTCGAAAGTTAAGTAGTTCGGAAGTTTTAGGCGACCAAAGTGACCGACTTTTACAAATATATTATAGATTTGTTTATTTCCCGCGGAAGAGCAATTTTTATATCATGGAAAAAGAAATATGTCTTGAACTCTACATTGAAATGACTTTACTTTTATCCGCCGCTTATACCATTTTGGGTGTCGCGGGAATTGAAATGACGAACGGGAAAATAGTAAACGGCCAATAGTTTTCTAATTTTTTTTAGGAGAATGCAAGGACTTACTGAAGTGATAGAAACCTAGCTTGGTCTTTGAACTACCTTCAGAACTTTTTCATGATTCTTGGTTCCGTAGTTTTTTCAGCTATAGAAAACAACCATCCTCATGTACGCAATTATACATGTGTGAGGCAGCGTGGTGGAATCAGGCTCTCGTCAATATTTGGACATGTAGAGTTATTGGTATTATCTTAAAGCCTGTTCACTTGTCTTTATTTGGATGAAAAAAGTATCCATTTATCTTGAATACAAGCCGAGATATTAACGAAAGTGGGAGATGGGGGTCACCTGTTTTCAGAGGTAAAATTAGTGAGAAAATGGCCGCCAAAGGATAGTTATTTCTTAGATTAAGAGTCCGTGGTAATAGAAAATTTACATTTTTCTGTGTCTTTTATCAACGTTTTTCAGAAAATTCCAAGCAGAAATGAGTTCTTTAAAGGGCATTAAGGGTGTTGAACCAAAAAATAAAAATTTAATAAAAATTAACAAACCTGCGGAAAAATGCAAGTTTCTTCATTTTGATTATTTGACAAGAGCCTGATTCCACCACGCTGCCTCACATATAGACCAGCTGGGCCCCCTTTGATGAAAGGAATGATCAGTGCATTAACATCAACTGAAAGTCATCGGCCAACTATATTTACACTCTACTGAAATGGAGCAATAATACAGCGCACATTTAGTTTTTCTCTCAGTTGCTCCTGAGGAAGCCCAAGAGGCGAAACGTTGAGCTGTGTCTATTAAACAAATTTTAAATATGGTATATTGTTATGTTATTTTGTCTGAAATTTAAACAAGACTCTCCCTCCTACTCTGCTAATGAAACAATGATGATAATGATGATGATGATGATGATGATGATGATGATGGCTTTAGTGTTCCCTTCTCTCTTGCCTATGCGATTTGTACTCACCGCTCCTTTAAATGTTGAGACATGTATGTACGCACTTTAGTTTTTATATCCTGTGTATATCTAGATTCTTGCCAGTTATTTTTGTGAATGTTCCTGAGGAAGCCCGTTGAGGGTGAAACGTTGAACTGTGTATAATATATATTTTCTGGAAACACAACAAGGTCTTAACTGTTTTAATACCTTCTTTATACAATGATGATGATGATGATGATGATGATGATGATGATGATGATGATGATGATGATGGTGGTGGTAATGCTGTTTCTTGGCTCCTTCAAACTGCTGTCTTTCAGCCACATCCCTGATCTTAGGAGAGGTAAAATCGAACACACAGTCTTTTCGGATAAGGACGAAAAGGTCTCGAATGTCCTGTGAGGAAGTTGCCCACATTAAAAATCCCTTGGTGGTCCTGAAATCGATAAGAGTAGGCTTCGGCCGCCATCGCAGCAAAATTCAAAATTTCTACTAAACTAAAAATGTTTAATGTGTCGTGCCGTAAAACACATACCACCCCTCCCCCTCCAAAAAAAAAAGTCCAAGCACAGAGGCAATCCCACTAGCCCGGCCTCAGAAGCTAGCGATAAACAATGATGAAGAAATTGATACACTTTAATAATCATTGAGGCGAAATTTGAGTTACAACGGCAAGCAAGCATTCGTACATATTGATAAACACATAGATACACACTCAAAAAATACGACATACACACAATCACACTTATAAAAAAATAATTTTACAAACACGCTATTGCTTGTCACCACTTAGTAGAGCCCTGCAATTTCTGTTTAATTTATATATAGGAGATTTTTTTTTTGGGGGGGGGGGGGTTGTTTGTTTGGTTGGGGTTTTTTTTTGGGGGGGGGGGGGAGAGGGAGGGGGTTGGAGCCAGGCTGATATTGTATTGCTCACGAAGACACCCAAATGACCACTAACTTAATTGCTGTCACTGACACTTGCTTGACATTGTTTTATGAGTATGAGCCATAATTATAACCTCTTTGGTATGAGCTCACTATCCACTCAACCACTGCCGCATACCCCCCCCCCCCCAACCAAAAAAATATCCTCAGTGGTTCAGACAAATTGTCATGACCAGGGAGTTCCTGGGCTGCAGTGGATAACTGTGACATCTATACTTCTGCTATACCATACCCATAGCACAAAGACATTGATACACTTTGATAATCCCTGAGGCGAAATTTGAGTTGCAACGGAAAGCATTCGTACATATTGATAAACACATAGACACACACATTCAAAGAAAGCTAGATACACACGATCACATTAATAAAAAAAACAATTTTACAAATCCGCTATTGCTGGTCGCCACTTGGTAGAGCCCTGTAATTTCTGTTTAATGTATTTATGGGAGGTTTTTTGTTGGTTTCTTTTTTGGGGAGGGGGGTTGGGGTGGATAGAGGGGTGGGGGATTGGAGCCAGACTGATTGTATGTTGCTCACGGAGACACCCCACTGACCACAAGCCTAATTGCCGTGTCCCTGACACTTGCTTGACATTTATTTGGTCGCATTTAAGCTCAAGGGAGGCTATCCAGAAAAATGCTGTTTGAGAAAATCGGAGGTAAAGTTTTTGCCCTTGTTCATTTTCTTTAAAAGACCAGGAGAGTTTTCTCTATAACCAAACAATTTTACACACCAGTGAAACCAACTTAGTCCTATATGTAGGGAAATGCCCACTTTTGGTGTTGGTTAAGATTTCTGGAAACACCTGAAATCTGGGTTAGCCCGCTTGTCCTTAAAGGCGACCATTTATAAGTATGAGCCTCATAACCTCTTAGGTATGAGCTCACTATCCACTTAGCCACTGCCGCAAATCCCTTCCCGCCCCCCACCCACCCAAAAAAACCCTTGTCTTTAGGCTACCGGAATCGTAATGGTGAGATTGCGGGTTCGGAGGTTCGAGCCTCAGTCGGTCCGACGTTGTGACCTTGGGAAAGGCACTGTAAACGAATTTCCCACTTCCAGATTTGTTGTGATAAGCTTGGAGCATTTTTATTTCTTTGTCCTTCTACTGTTTTGTAAAGATTGTACTAACGGTCGTTACACCCTCAGTATTGGTTATAATCTATTAGACATTGTGCATACCTAGTTGCAGCAACCAACACACTATGGTGAGCTACCACAGTTACGAGCACTTTATGGGGTTCTCTTCCAAGCTAAACTCTATGAATGTATTTTGAAAAGCTGGAAGCATCTTTTTTCTTTGTTCTCTTACCGTTTTGTAAAGCATGTACGGTCGGTCGTTACACTCTCAGTATTGGTTATAATTAATCATATGTTATTCATGCCGAATTGTAACAACCAACACATTATTGTGATTTACCATATGTACTACCTTTTTATATAGACTTCTTTGCACCGGTAAACTCTATTTAATTCTAGATGTGTTCTGAAAAGCTGGAAGCATTTTTTAAAATGTCTTTCTACCGGTTTGTGAATCTTGGGCACTCGGTCGTTACACTCTCAGTTTTGGTTATAACTTATTAATATTGTACATGCCTAGCTGAAACAACCAACACATTATTGTGATTTACCACATGTACTAGCATTTAATAGGCTTCTTTGCCAGTCTTAATTCTATGCAAACGTAAGTGTATTTGAAAAGCTGGAAGCAACTTTATTCCTTTGATCTCTTACTGTTTTGTAAAAACTTGTTCAGTCGATCGTTAAACTTCCGTTACTGGTTATAATCTATTAGATATTGTGCCTGCTAAGTTGCAACAACGAACGCATTATTGTGATTTACCAAATGTGTAAGGATTTCACAGGCTTCTTTGCACAGCTAAACTCTATCCAATTCTAGGTGTGTTCTGAAAAGCTGTAAGCCTTTTCAATTCCTTGTCTTTCTACTGTTTTGTAAATTTTGTGCGGTTGGTTGTTACACTCTCAGTATGGGTTATAATCTATTAGATATTGTGCATGCCAAGTTGCAACAACCAACAGATTATTGTGATTTACCACCTGTACTTGCATTTTATAGACTTCTTATCCTGGCTAAACTCTGTGCAAACTTAAATGTTTTTTGAAAAGCTGGAAACATCATTTTCTCTTTGTCCTCCTACTGTTTTGTAAAACTTGTGCAGTCGGTCGTTACACTCTCAGTATTGGTTATCTATTAGATATTGTGCATGCCTAGCTGCAACCCCCATTTACTCCCTCAGTGAATATTATACTTCAGATCTTCTAGGGGCCGTGGATGACTGGGTTACTGGGTCCCAGCAGACAGACAGGGATACCTCAGGTACTTAGACTACCCCTGACACCTGTTCTGGTCTCGTGAGCCACGACAAGCAAATCTTCGACGAGCAATCATTCACATACAAACAAGTACCTAATATGTTGTTATCTCCTTCTCGGGCAAGCAGAGTGAGTGTGTGTGTGTGTGTGTGTGTGTATGTGTGTGTGTGTGTGTGTGTGTGTGTGT